CTTCATCTCTAAGATAATTTATTCTAGGGAAAATTGCAGGAGCAATCCCTCACATTTTCAATTTTTTGCAGACTTTATCATAACCTTTATTTTGTGTCAATGAAGGTACCTAAGTTTTAATAAATATGCAGTTGGAGTCCAAATGGATGGAAATAGCCATTTAACCATTAATTAAACAAAACAAATGATTTTGACCAAATTTAGTAATGACAAAATAGTAAATTAATTAATCTCATATTATAAAAACCCAAACTAAATAAATAAAAAATAAAAAACCCAAAAAAATAAGAAAAAAAATTGAAAAAAATTTGAAAAGAATCAATCTTAGACAAAGAACTTAGAATCAAACTTAGACAACGAAGACCAATGAGAATTGATTCTTTTCTTCTTGATTTCCGAGTGCAAAGTAAAATAGAAATTTTTGTGTAAAATAGAGAGGAAATAAAAAAAAAAAAAATGGAGGTGGAGAGATTGGTGGAGGATAATTTTGGAGAAGAAGATAAAATGGGTAGGGAAGTTGGTGGTGGTTGTGGAAGAAGAAGAAGAAGAAGAAGAAGAAGAAGAAGAGGAAAGAAGGGATAGGCGTGACGGTGAAGCTGCTATTTTCGATGGATTTTGTCTTTTGGGGATGGGATGGGATAGGATGGGGTGGGGTGTGGGGGAAGAGAGATTCATTTTTTTTACTTTTTATGTCTTTTTTTAATATTAAAATTATTATTTTACCCCTTTCAATTTAGTCAAAGTTTACTTTTCTTGGTCAACTAACGGTCATCCATTTGGACTCTAGCTCCATATTTATTAAAGGTTAGGGACATTCGTTGGTACAAAATGAAGGTTAGGGTAAAGTCTGCAAAATTTGAAAAGGTTATGGACCGCTGCCGCAATCTTCCCTTTATTCTTGGGTGAAAGTGACTATTTGGAAAATAATTTTTTTGAGAATGTCTATTAAAAAGTGGGGAAAAGATATGAAAATTGTGAAAATGATTTTTTAGAACATAAAATTGAGAATGAGTGTAGAGCAAAGTGATTCTCGAAAAATGACTTTAACAGAAGAACTCAACTATTTACAACGCAGTTAGGAGTCTAATAGTTTGTTTGATGAAAGTAGAATTCTAGATTTATTAGGACACAATTAACACTGCTTATTTAATCAAATTTATGCCTTTAGGGATTATTCCACGAGAAAAAAAATCATATTATAGCTATTAAGTATGCACCAAATCAAATCTCAAAGATTAAGTTCTAAAATGTAAAAGTCATGTTTTTATTTTATTTTTATTTTATCTAATAATATTATCAAATTAAATTAAGCTACCCACAACCACCCCAATTGCCCCCACCCACCTGTCGCCGACGT